GCCCTGGCTAAACTGGCTGGTAAGGCCGCCGAAGCCCTACCCGGCATCCTGGGTAGCATCGTCTCGTTGTTGCTGAGCGCTCTGGCTAAAACTGCCACGTGGCTTAGTCAAAACCTGTGGGCAGCCATCGTCGCCGTGGCGGGTCTGGTGTACGTAGCGGCTAAGGAATCTTTAACCAAATGAGCCCCAAAGCTACCCCACCAACCACCAGGGCTGTTTTACGATCAATGTGCTGCTGATTGGATTGTGGGGGTGACCCCACAGGGGGTTTTGGTTGAACCCTAGGCTCCGGGGGTGGCGCTACTATACCCGTTTCACCGGTCGTGGGTGGTGGGACGTGGGGGACGTTGACATCGAGGTTGACGCCCAACTTTTGACCCGCCGTGGCTATGACTATTTCGTTGTAGCCCACCACTTTTTTTACTCTCAGTTGCATATCGCTCGGAGCCATGTACAGTCCCACTTCGAACACGTAGTCGACTTTCGACCTGGCGTATTCCAACACGTCTTGGTAGCGTTTGATGGCACTCGGGAGATCAACTGGAGCATTGATAGCATCCTCAACGTTGACAACGAACTGTTTCTGAGCGTCGTAGCAGTCCCCTTGCCTAGGATATTGGAGCGCGTTTGCGTCTGCGCACCTAACAGCCTACACACGTACGTTCGAATTGAGTCGTTTAACCTGATTACCCCGCACGCGAGTAAACCCTTTTCGATGTGTCCAGCATGAACTTTTTCCAGTCATCCGCTGCCCCTGCTCAAACCTCCAGACTCTGTAATCCTTACTGTTGTCGAAAAGCCATGTAACGGTCATCCCACTCGTTTGTTGTGATATGATATGACTTGTATCCCCATTCTTTCAACTTCTCGCTGGCTTCCACGAGGGGCATATTGTGAACGATGGGGATACCCAACCCGTGGTTCGGTCCCGCAAACGCCAATCCGTCTTCGTGTTTAGTTCGAATTCGCTGCAAATACGTTAAGTAGGCCCGTCTATCGCGTACTGGTTGTTTACTGCATTCCACACCTTTTCTTGTGGGAGCGGGCTGATCTCTTTGAGGATCGTCTGACCTGGTAGTACACGTGAAACGTGAACACAGACTGACTCAGTGGGCACGCCGAGTGTCGGTCAATGCCACACCACACCCGTTGTAAGCGCACCACACGGCGAAGTTGAGTTGATTCTGCCAGAACTGCATCGGGTTGTTGAACCAAACGCGTGAACTACCTTAGCGTTAGTCACCGAAAACTTATACTGACCGAACACATCTATGAACTGGGTGTCGAAATACAACCCGGCAGCGACCACGATCTTCATGTGGGGGAAATCTACGTCCAGTTTAGGGTAAAACACTCCAGGGGAGTACATTTTAAAACTATTATATAATGAGTTTATATACTCTAACATGTACATAACACTTCCAGGAATAAAGAGCGGCGAGGGCCGTTCAGCTGACGACCGCCGATCGATAACACGCCGGGTCAACTTCGAAGTCGCGACTGTGCGATATCACCTACCTACCACGATGGACTAACATCAACGCTAGCAACAATAAACTGTTCGTAGGTGGCTAGCAACAAGATAATTGACGGTTACTACAGCGTGTGCTCTCTAAGCGACGAGGTCTTCAAACCCCTGGGGCGCCGAACTCAAGATGAGCGACTCAAACAGTACAGTGGTGTTAATCAACAACGGAAGAAACTCCTTGAGGCTCGGTCAACCACTGGCGAGGACACTTTCGGTATACAGCCTGGCGAGATAAAACCAACGACTACCGCCACAGGCAACGAAGTTACCCGACCTAGTACCGTGCGAGAGCTGTGCATTCATCTCAGTCAGGTGAGCACAACGGACAACATTCAAGGGGTCACCCTTCCACTATACTGAGAGCCGTACCCGGTGAAAGCGGAGAAATACAACGATGGCAGAACCGAAGTCGTTTTCACCGCGGCAGTATAAGAGGTTAACCCAGGGCAACATCCCTGAGCTGATAATATCGGCGTTAGATATAAATCATAATCTCGTGAATATAGGATACCTCAGCCGCAACGCTGCACATAAAATGACCAGCGCACAAGGTCCTGGAATGAAGTTGAAAAAATGCATCAATGTAGGGATCTCCGACCTCGGGGACACACGCAGCGGATTCGACGACCCGAGTAGATGGCAAATTATACGCCTTGCAACTGAAAAACAGCATTTACAAACGCGTTGAAGTCCCCTCCGGTGGTACTAGCAACCTAAGTGATATAGTAGATACCACAAGAGCGGCAGTCAACACTAAGTACACCCTTGTCAACACCGGCGATAACTGGATAATATACCCATCGTTCGAGGGCAAACTGTTCGACTTAACCGATGTTGAGAGCACTACCGTCGCCCGAAACAAACCATATACTCTCGTCTTCACCGATGAAGACAAGTGGGTGTTATTACCCGATAAAGCCGACTGGTTTCTCAATATTAAGCTCGGTTCCCCCTACGTGTTTACGGATAACAAAGACAACCACCTAAATAAAGTCGTGAACAACGGAACCCTGCTCGTGGCTTACATCCCGACTCAGAGGCGTGGCGTAGTCATCAGCCCACTTCGCCAGTATGGCAGCCCACATGCTATCGAGTAAGGCAGGCATGCAAAGCGTGGTATTGCAGTTGGTGTCTGAATTGGCGTGGTCAAGATCCTGGAGAGTCTACCGGCTTAACTCAACACTGGTCATCCAAGTCTACCTAGGGGAACCATCGCGCGGGATGATGTAGAGATCGTGAAGGGGTCAAACTCGGTGGGGAAAACAACAACAGTATCACGTTTGCAACGTTTACGTGCGGGTGGGTGTCGACTCAAAAACTAGTCTGCAGGGTGTCACCGTGGTCGTGGAAGACACTATATCACTAACCAAGATCTTCCTACCCGACAACATACACTTCATGGGGGTGAAGTGCACCCCTGAACTATTATCAGAAAACCAGTTGGAAATTATATCGTAATAGTATTATAACAATGTCTCGGTTTCACCCCAACACTACACTTAACGACTTAGGGGACACAGAGGGATTCGACCAGCCTGGTGAGGAAGACACCTTATACATCCTGCACTTGAAAGACAACGTGTATAGGCGGGTGTCGTTATCAGATTTTAAAGAGCCTAAATGGTTGATCAACTTAACCTTCCCCTCACCTTATATCTCATTTAAGGAAATTAATTATATCTCTGAAATTAAAAATATAGGTATCATACCCTCGTGTTTCGTTCCGGGCCGTCATACAGAAATTGGGCTAACTCAGTCCGGTATGTTATATGCACACCAAGGGGGTGAGTTAGAGTATACCTGCTCCGGGCTCGTGCATATTCCGGGTATGACCCCAGGTTCAACACTCATCATAGAATTCCATATCCGTGAACTTTCTATTAGTAAAGAACAACTTTTACGCGGGGTGACAGTACACTGGAGTACCCAGAACAATAACCGACGTTACCGTATCATCATACAAACGGACTCAACAGGTTCTATAACCCACTCAATAAACCCCCCCTACTATGGGGTTCGTGTGGATACAGAGTTACCTATTCACTTCCAAACTATTTTCCTAAACAGTGATTTATACCTTATAAGCTTCAAGTTAGTTGATCAACTATTAACTGAAACCCAATTAAAATATTTTTTGTAATATATATTATAGGATGGGGCTGTACCCAGGCATAGATGAAGTAGTGAAGACCCTGGAAACCGTAGACGGGTTCCGCTTGAGGCAGTTATGCGATGTAAGACGTCAACTAGAACAAGACCGCGATAAGCGGAAAGCACTTTATAAGAAGTACCATAGAGCTTTCAATGTCGTGGACGGGACTGATACTACCCTTATGGCAGCCAGCATGGGCCTAGGGGTGGCAGGTGTTGGGTTGTTAGCTACCATCGTAGCCGCACCTATAGTGCTAGGCCTTGAAATAACAGCTGGGGTGACAGGGGTGTTAGGGTTGGTGCTTAAGTTTGCATCACGCAGACTGCATCGTAAAGCGTTGAAACACGATGAGATCAGGGTTCTGGCTGAAGCAAAGCTGAACACGGTGAGTGAGCGTATTTCCACGGCACTCACTGACAGTAAGATCTCGGAGGAGGAGTTTCGTTCAATCCTCTCTGAACTCACAAAATATGATAAAATGAAACAAGAGATTCGATCCAAGTCTCGTAAGTCTGTTATCAGCGAGGACGAGAAAAAAAAGTACATAGAACAGGGGGTACAAAAAGCCCGGCAAGCCTTTATAACGAACACCAAAGAGATCATAGGCGATTCACATTAAACTGTTTCATTGAGGCCAACGTGACATAGCGGCACGTGGACATAGATAAAATGAAATCAGACGAACCTACCTTGTACTACTTGAGGATGGGCCAGGCAGACAGGAATTATTGATTCCAGACAACGTATCACGTGATGCGTGGGTGCGCATGATCTACCCGTTAAACTGACCTACTTCAGCTAAGTCCGCGGTAGCTCAGTCGGTTGAGTGGTGCGGCCCATTATGTATAGTCTGCGCAAGCTGTGCATGTGGGTTCGTATCCCGCCGTTGTCTCTGCAACTTTGTGTGATGTGAGAGAAAGGCAGCCGGCACAATTCCCAAGGGAGGAAGCGCAATACATTTCTATTTCTCCCTTTGGGAATTGTGGCTGCCGGGGGACATTTTACTATTTTTACGCTTGAAATTTTTATAGGTTGGGAAAGCAGTAGGGGTAATGGTAGCAAGAGCTAAGGGTCCGACCAAAGCCTTATTTGGGGAATAAGGCTTTGCAGAGGCTTTTTGTTGGAACTGGTCCAAAACCCCCATTCCCTATACTACTTCTAGGAATATGTAGATAATATAGGCAATGAAGACGAGGGAGAATAACAAAACAGATCTGAATGGGTAATAACAGACTTAAATATTGTGGCTAACCCGATAACTGAGTCTTAGGAAGTAGTGGGAAATAATGCTAGCAAGTCATACAATGGAAAACACAAGTCTCGTGAAGGAATGTTTTTTTATTGAAAAGAAGGGAAAAAAACATTTTGCTAAATACTTTCAGAACTTTGATTTACTCGTTTACGAATAACTTATTTGGCATCTAGTCCATACACATATGGAGTTGAGGACATCTTGTTTATTATGAATGAATGGCACTTGTACTCTACACATGGGCACCTGGCAAACTGAAAGAATCATCAGTCTTGCTTCTACCATCAGGTGTTGCATTGTTAAAACCCCATTGTTACATACACTCCAAACTGATTCTACTCCAAGAACTGACAAAAAAAAACTGAAGCAATGTCTCATCCACACTAAACAAGATGTGATCCTTAAACCCAACCATAAAAATCCAAAAATATTCAATAACTCATATCTTTCTTTGCACCAACAAATATGCACAGGTGTAAATTCAATAGAATGTGGAGAAAGCACTTTTCATACACGATATATTCCAATACATCCAAACATGTTTCTATTTTAGTTGCTCTTAATATAGATTACACCAAATCCTGTTCGCTCAAATGCTGACATATAACTGCAAAACATTTCTCACCAAATGCAAACTGAATACTCTCAATATAAAAGAATGGATCCAAACAGAACAGGTAAATGTATACATGATACTATGAGAACACACCAATGCCCTCCTAAAATAGTTGGTTTGTCCACACTGTCCCTGATCAGGACGGACTTCGATCAGGACGGACTTCGATCTTGACATTCACTTATCTTCTTCTCAAAATGTTATCAGTCTCAGTGCGTCTGCAGTTTCAGAACTACACTAACCAATAGAAGCTAAAAACACTTAATTGCTTCACATGACATTGGTTAATCTGTCATGACATGGTTGTCCTTTAACTTCTATTAATGTCATTAACATATGGGCAAACTAACTACCGAATTGGGGCCTTAAGAATATATACAACAGGTAAGAGTGTACGCGCACAGACTTAAACAATACGATATTCATCTTGGATGACGGTAAACAGCATCTCCACAATAATGGTCTACATGTTTCCTGCTGATACAAATGACAAACCTGCTGTCATTTCACCTCTGGATAATGAGACAAAGCTGGATTGTTTTCTTCATGTTATTTGTCATCTGCAGAAGTAATATAATTCACGTCCTGCATCTTTTCCGAAATTTATGAATACTAATGTTTTTTTGCAAAAAGATCTATATCTGTATTTACTGTTGCTGATGTTTCCATACCAGGAGAGGCTATAAGTTTGTAGACCATTAAAGTAACGTACACTAACAACAATGCTGATGGTTACAAAAATAGTGCAATATATACAGTTTCTCACTGAGAGGTCAGTATTGAGTACAACCTACATGTTTAATTTTCCTGTTTTGCATAACTTTCACAATACATTCTACTCTTTGCAGTTCTTAGCCCAACAAACCGGTATGTACATGATATATGAAAATAACATGGTATCAAATCAATGCAACAAACATATCACATGGACCAATGTATAGTTTCATATCAATTCAGTTTGTAAAATGTTATATCACTGAATACAGAAAAATACAAGGTGACTTTATTGTCAAACAATATTCAAACCGAAACATAATTGAGTTATTTTCCACTCTTGTAAAAATCCCTGTTCAACTTAACTTCATAAAAATAGAACTCACAAATCTTCAAAACCCAATTAGTGTGACTTTTAAGATTAGGAAATATGACAATCTTTTCAGAACAAACCTGGAATTATACCAAACCAAATTACCATGAAAATATAGAGGTACCCTCAAGTAAAGATTCCACGTATACAACTACATAATATGAAGCATAATTTAAATAAAGAAAGGTTCATTTCTCAGATCACCTAAAAGTATGTCCTTACCACTATCTCACTTGTACAGTGATGAGACGAATAATACAAGGGAAGATCTAGCACTTAATGCAAAGTAAAAGTATGTATCTAGGTGCCTAATAATCTCCTGGATTTGTCCACTTTCCACAGGTTCTAGGAAACACAATGATACAAGGGAAGATCTAGCACTTAATGTGAAGTAAAAGTATGTATCTAGGGGTCTAATAATCTCCTGGATTGGTCCACTTTCCACATGTTCTAGGAAACACAACAGTACATAGCATCCAATGTTAAGCAATAGTTAGTTTAATACAAAATAAAAGTATTGAAGTGAGTATAATTTTCTGAGCTTGAATTTCACTTTTCGCTGTGTTCCTGATCCTGGCTTGTGTCTAGTTCCAGACATGTTTCTGGCAGTGCTCCATGGCCTGAAACACAAGGGCGGGTAAGTGAGTGAGTTTTGTTTAATGCAGTTTCACAGAGTATTTCTGTCATATCACAGCAGGTCAGCCAGTACCACAATCCAAGAACTGTTACACTTCATCACACACCACAATCCAAGTACCCCTGGTACACTTCATCACACACCACAATCCAAGTACCCCTGGTACACTTCATCACACACCACAATCCAAGTACTGTTACACTTCATCACACACCACAGTCCAAGTACCCCTGGTACACTTCATCACACACCACAATCCAAGTACCCCTGGTACACTTCACCACACACCACAATCCAAGTACCCCTGTTACACTTCATCACACACCACAATCCAAGTACTGTTACACTTCACCACACACCACAATCCAAGTACCCCTGGTACACTTCATCACACACCACAACCCAAGAACTGTTACACTTCATCACACACCACAATCCAAGTACTGTTACACTTCATCACACACCACAATCCAAGAACTGTTACACTTCATCACACACCACAGTCCAAGTACCCCTGGTACACTTCATCACACACCACAATCCAAGTACCCCTGGTACACTTCACCACACACCACAATCCAAGTACCCCTGTTACACTTCATCACACACCACAATCCAAGTACTGTTACACTTCACCACACACCACAATCCAAGTACCCCTGGTACACTTCATCACACACCACAACCCAAGTACTGTTACACTTCATCACATACCACAATCCAAGAACTGTTACACTTCATCACACACCACAATCCAAGTACCCCTGGTACACTTCATCACACACCACAATCCAAGAACTGTTACACTTCATCACACACCACAATCCAAGTACCCTGGTACACTTCATCACACACCACAACCCAAGAACTGTTACACTTCATCACACACCACAATCCAAGTACCCCTGTTACACTTCATCACATACCACAATCCAAGAACTCCTGTTACACTTCATCACACACCACAATCCAAGTACCCCTGGTACACTTCACCACACACCACAATCCAAGTACTGTTACACTTCATCACACACCACAATCCAAGTACTCCTGTTACACTTCACCACACACCACAATCCAAGTACTGTTACACTTCATCACACACCACAATCCAAGTACTGTTACACTTCATCACACACCACAATCCAAGTACTCCTGTTACACTTCATCACACACCACAATCCAAGTACTGTTACACTTCATCACACACCACAATCCAAGTACCCTGTTACACTTCATCACACACCACAATCCAAGAACTGTTACACTTCATCACACACCACAATCCAAGTACTGTTACACTTCATCACACACCACAATCCAAGTACTGTTACACTTCATCACACACCACAATCCAAGTACCCCTGGTACACTTCATCACACACCACAATCCAAGTACCCCTGTTACACTTCACCACACACCACAATCCAAGTACCCCTGTTACACTTCATCACACACCACAATCCAAGTACCCCTGTTACACTTCATCACACACCACAATCCAAGTACCCTGGTACACTTCATCACACACCACAATCCAAGAACTGTTACACTTCATCACACACCACAATCCAAGTACCCCTGGTACACTTCATCACACACCACAACCCAAGAACTGTTACACTTCATCACACACCACAATCCAAGTACTGTTACCTGTTACACTTCATCACACACCACAATCCAAGAACTCCTGTTACACTTCATCACACACCACAATCCAAGTACCCCTGGTACACTTCACCACACACCACAATCCAAGTACTGTTACACTTCATCACACACCACAATCCAAGTACTCCTGTTACACTTCACCACACACAATCCAAGTACTGTTACACTTCATCACACACCACAATCCAAGTACTGTTACACTTCATCACACACCACAATCCAAGTACTCCTGTTACACTTCATCACACACCACAATCCAAGTACTGTGTTACACTTCATCACACACCACAATCCAAGTACACCCTGTCCAAGTACCTCTGGTACACTTCATCACACACCACAATCCAAGAACACACTTCACAACACACACCACAATCCAAGTACTCCTGTTACACTTCATCACACACCACAATCCAAGTACTGTTACACTTCATCACACACCACAATCCAAGTACTCCTGTTACACTTCATCACACACCACAATCCAAGTACTCCTGTTACACTTCACCACACACCACAATCCAAGTACTGTTACACTTCACCACACACCACAATCCAAGTACCCCTGTTACAACTTCACTCAAGTACACCACAATCCAAGTACTGTTACACTTCATCACACACCACAATCCAAGTACACACTTCAATCCATCACACACCACACCAAATCCAAGTAATTCTGTTACACTTCATCACACACCACAATCCAAGTACTGTTACACTTCATCTGTTACACTTCATCACACACCACAATCCAAGTACTTCTGTTACACTTCATCACACACCACAATCCAAGTACTGTTACACTTCATCACACACCACAATCCAAGTACTGTTACACTTCATCACACACCACAATCCAAGTACCCCTGTTACACTTCACACTTACACACTTCATCACACACCACAATCCAAGTACTGTTACACTTCATCACACACCACAATCCAAGTACCCCTGTTACACTTCATCACACACCACAATCCAAGTACCCCTGGTACACTTCATCATCACACACCACAATCCAAGTACCCCTGTTACACTTCATCACACACCACAATCCAAGTACCCCTGGTACACTTCATCACACACCACAATCCAAGTACCCCTGTTACACTTCATCACACACCACAATCCAAGTACTGTTACACTTCATCACACACCACAATCCAAGTACTGTTACACTGTTACACTTCATCACACACCACAATCCAAGTACCCTGGTACACTTCATCACACACCACAATCCAAGTACTGTTACACTTCATCACACACCACAATCCAAGTACCCCTGGTACACTTCATCACACACCACAATCCAAGTACCCCTGGTACACTCCATCACACACCACAATCCAAGTACCCCTGGTACACTTCATCACACACCACAATCCAAGTACCCCTGGTACACTCCATCACACACCACAATCCAAGTGCCCCTGGTACACTTCATCACACACCACAATCCAAGTACCCCTGGTACACTTCATCACACACCACAATCCAAGTACCCCTGGTACACTTCATCACACACCACAATCCAAGTACCCCTGGTACACTTCATCACACACCACAATCCAAGTACCCCTGGTACACTTCATCACACACCACAATCCAAGTACCCCTGTTACACTTCATCACACACCACAATCCAAGTACCCCTGGTACACTTCATCACACACCACAATCCAAGTACCCCTGTTACACTTCATCACACACCACAATCCAAGTACTGTTACACTTCATCACACACCACAATCCAAGTACCCCTGTTACACTTCAACACACACCACAATCCAAGTACTGTTACACTTCATCACACACCACAATCCAAGTACCCCTGGTACACTTCATCACACACCACAATCCAAGTACCCCTGGTACACTCCATCACACACCACAATCCAAGTTCTGTTACACTTCATCACACACCACAATCCAAGTACCCCTGGTACACTTCATCACATACCACAATCCAAGTACTCACCTTGCACTGTATGGCATTATCTTTGCTGGCACACCAGAAGCTTGGTCCATATGAGCACTTGCCCTGCCCCAACAACTTGTGTAGCTTGTTCTGGACACCCTTCTGGCTGGTTGGACACAAGCCTATGGTCTGTTAGACAGAACATAAGGCTTAGGACAATTTCAAAAGACAAATATACTGCTGAAGCTCACATGATTATGAAGTCAACATTTTAAACGTCAACAAAAGCAGTCAATTAAAAGGAACTGCTGTCAGCATATGCTATTCACATATTTTCTGAATACAGAGGACAAAAGCATTAACAAACAGAAACAAGCCAGAAACTAACCATCAATCTGAAAGTACTAATTGAACTAATAGGCTATTGTAGACCATTTTCGCAATACATAATGTTTACCAAGAGAGAAAATCTGAGGAACGGTAATGAGAATTTTCAGCTTTCGGTTTATAACTACAAAGGTTATATCTAAAAAAATATAACATTTTGAGCCAAACTACCAATTACAAAGACGTTTGCTTGAAATTTTGAAATTTTTCTTTGAGTAATGGACATAAACAGCATTTTCAATGTGGTGGATATGTTACTTCCTTTGTTCACTGACTTCTTAGAGATAGGGAAAAGTATTTTGTGAGAATTTGAGTGCATGTCCTATACTGAAATTCCAGTTAATCTGTCACACCATGAAACATTTACTATAGTTTAACTAGAGTAATATGAAATGAATCAATTAAAACAATCAGGTATAATACTCCAAAACATTAGGACTACACTATTCTCTCATATTACTATAGTCAATCTGTTCTGCCATGAGTGAGTGAGTGAGTACATATTGCTTAACCACACCAGCAATGTTGCAGTTATTCGAAAAATGAAGTTAGACTAAATGGATTTTTTCAAAATTCATAACAAACAAGTGTTTGCCACTGATATGGCAATGTCCCCACCGCTAAAGAATGGAATATCTATATTTACTACTTTTATTTTTTGGTCACATACAAGATGCCTGAAATGACTGGTGTCTGCATAATCCCCCAATGTAGGCTGTCAACATAATTGGAAACATTGGGTGCAATGTTTTATGAGATATCGCCTTGAAAAAGCGGTCAAAGTATCGTGGTGACCTTGAAGATAGGTCACGGTCACCCAAATAAACTGGTGTCTGTGTAATACCCCAATGTAAACTGTCACCAAATTTGAAGACATTGGGTACAACAGTCCATGAGATACCGCGTTGACAAGAGTTAAAAGTGTGAAAAGTGTTGTGGTGACCTTGAAGATAAGGTCAAGGTCACCCAAAATCAACTGGTGTCTGCGTAATCCCCCAATGTATGCTGTAACCAAATTTGAAGACATTGGGTACAACAGTCCATGAGATGCCGTGTTTAGAAGATTTTGAAAAGTGTTCAAAGTGTCGTGGTGACCTTGAAAATAAGGTCAAGGTGACCTAAATAAACTGGTGTCTGTGAAATCCCCAATGTAGGCTGTCACCAAATTTGAAGACATTGGGTACAACTGTCAATGAAATATCGCTAACAAGAATCGGACGTACAGACATTCGGACGGACGCCGCTGAATACATAGTCCCCGCTCGGCATGGCGGCAGGGGACAACAATCTCTGAATTGACATGATAAATAGATGAAAAAACATTTCATAGCTACTTATCACAGAATCTCACCTTGCAGATTTGCCTGGGGTCAATGTCGCTGGCAAGAAGATGTCAAGGACAAGTGGTGCGTACTGGTCAACGAAGGCCAAACACTGAAATAAGACAGAAACAGGAAAAATGGGACATGTAAATAACTCACATGAAGCATTCCGATCTGTCTCTTTAGAATGCCAGGAGGTTCAAGTTCTAAAGTGCACAAGGATGGACATTGTAATACATAAACACTGAAGTAAGAGTTAATCAAGTTATCATGTATAATCCAAGCACACATCCATTTGGTCATCTAAGTATATCACAAGCACACATTCAGTTGGTCACCTGAGTATAGTACAAGCTAGTGTTGGGAATTGGTTGAAATCTCACAATTGATGATTGCTTCATTACCAATGGACAAACATCGAAAATAAAGGTTAGCGTCATTTTTCAGATTTTCCTATAGAGGTTGTTATTGAAAATATGTATAACATGATGCGACTTGCTACTTAAAAGTGATGACTAATATATCATGAACATAAACTTCCTAGAGTCTTCAACAAATATTCAGTCATATTCAACAGAATTTTCAGTTAGTGAAGTGAGTTTTCTAAGAATTAAACAAGTTTTCAGGCCCTGACAACTTCGAAGATATGTTCCATTGTCAAGTGTTTCAAAGACTAAAACAGCAGTTTCAAAATCGTTTGTGTTCGATTATGAGAAAATGTGATCGATTGCTTGGTCGTTTGGTTACTTCGACCAATCTTCGATTATTTCAATTAATCGGAACACGACTATTACAAGCACACAACCAGTTGGTCATCTAAGTATATCACAAGCACACATCCAGTTGGTCATCTAAGTATATTACAAGCACACATCCAGTTGGTCACCTGAGTATATCACAAGCACACAACCAGTTGGTCATCTAAGTATATCACAAGCACACATCCAGTTGGTCATCTAAGTATAATACAAGCACACATCCAGTTGGTCATCTAAGTATATCTCAAGCACACATCCAGTTGGTCATCTAAGTATATCACAAGCACACATCCAGTTGGTCATCTAAGTATATCACAAGCACACATCCAGTTGGTCATCTAAGTATATCACAAGCACACATCCAGTTGGTCATCTAAGTATATCACAAGCACACATCCAGTTGGTCATCTAAGTATATCACAAGCACACAACCAGTTGGTAGCCTAAGTATATTGCCAGCACACAACCTGTTGGTCATCTAAGTATATCACAAGCACACATCCAGTTGGTCATCTAAGTATAATACAAGCACACAACCAGTTGGTAGCCTAAGTATATTGCCAGCACACAACCTGTTGGTCATCTAAGTATAATACAAGCACACATCCAGTTGGTCATCTAAGTATATCACAAGCACACATCCAGTTGGTCATCTAAGTATATCACAAGCACACATCCAGTTGGTCATCTAAGTATATCACAAGCACACAACCAGTTGGTAGCCTAAGTATATTGCCAGCACACAACCTGTTGGTCATCTAAGTATAATACAAGCACACAACCAGTTGGTCATCTAAGTATAATACAAGCACACAACCAGTTGGTAGCCTAAGTATATTGCCAGCACACAACCTGTTGGTCATCTAAGTATATCCCAAGCACACATTCAGTTGGTCACCTGAGTATATTACAAGCACACATCCAGTTGGTCATCTAAGTATATCACAAGCACACAACCAGTTGGTCATCTAAGTATATCACAAGCACACATTCAGTTGGTCACATGAGTACATTATAAGCACACATTCAGTTGGTCACCTGAGTATATTACAAGAACACATCCAGTTGGTCATCTAAGCATATCCCAAGCACACATTCAGTTGGTCACATGAGTACATTATAAGCACACATCCAGTTGGTAGCCTGAGTATATTGCCAGCACACAACCTGTTGGTCATCTAAGTATACCCCAAGCACACATTCAGTTGGTCACCTGAGTATATTACAAGCACACATCCAGTTGGTCATCTAAGTATATCACAAGCACACAACCAGTTGGTCATCTAAGTATATCACAAGCACACATTCAGTTGGTCACATGAGTACATTATAAGCACACATTCAGTTGGTCACCTGAGTATATTACAAGAACACATCCAGTTGGTCATCTAAGCATATCCCAAGCACACATTCAGTTGGTTACCTGAGTATATCACAAGCACACAACCAGTTGGTCATTTAAGTATATCCCAAGCACACATTCAGTTGGTTACCTGAGTATATTACAAGCACACATCCAGTTGGTCACCTGAGTATATCACAAGAACACAACCAGTTGGTCATCTAAGTATGTTACAAGCACACATCCATTTGGTCACCTAAGTATAATACAAGCACACATCCAGTTGATCATCTAAGTATAATACAAGCACACATCCAGTTGGTCATCTAAGTATATTACAAGCACACACCCCATTGGTCACCTGAGTATATTACAAGCATGCACCCAGTTTGTATGTTACAAGCACACACCTGGTTTGTCATCTGAGCAGACAGAAAGTTGCAAACTTTGTCCAAGACCATCTCGCATCCTGCACGGTAGCATTTTCCTTCAGCAGTGCATCAGCGTAGTTCATCACGGTCACACACAGGTCACAGATTTCATCATTCACCTTCAGGGGCACTGAAGTACAGAGATTCCATTACTGTTGATATTCAGCAATACTCCAGCAATATACACACATATGAATAATCCAGTTTGGTCATTAAATCATACCATAAAGCCTGATTATCAGATCATACCATCAAGTGTGAACATCATATCATACCATCAAGCTAGATCATACCATCAAGCCTGATTCTCAGATCATACCATCAAGCCCGATCATTAAATCATACCATCAAGCCCGATCATTAAATCATACCATCAAGCCCGATCATTAAATCATACCATAAAGCCCGATCAATAAATCATACCATCAAGCCCGATCATTAAATCATACCATCAGGCCCGATCATTAAATCATACCATCAAGCCCGATCATTAAATCATACCATCAAGCCCGATCATTAAATCATACCATCAAGCCCGATCATTAAATCATACCATCAAGCCCGATCATTAAATCATACCATCAAGCCCGATCATTAAATTATAGCATCAAACCTGATTCTCAGATCATACCATCAAACCTGATTCTCAGATCAAACCATCAAGCCTGATCATCAGATTACACCATCAAGCCTGAATCTCAGATCATACCATCAAGCCTGATTCACAGATTATACCATCAAGCCAGATCATTAAATCATACCATCAAGCCTGATTCTCAGATCATACCATCAAGCCAGATCATTAAACCATACCATCAAACCAGATCATTAAATCATACCACAAGAGGACTGACCTATGGGCTTCAAAGCAAGAGCATTTGACACTATGTGCCTATGATAATATATGTGAGTCTTAGTGCCCTGATTATTTGTGCACAAGAAACAAATACACAATGCAGTCATTTTGGAAATCAGTCTTATACAAGACACAGAGCAATCCATCACACCATTTGAATTTATGATGACCACCTCTGGGTTTTTTTTGTCTTGTGGATAGAGTCTGCCCAGAGAGAGGAAGGTTTGCAGTTCAATCACTGGCCCAGAGAGAGGAAGGATGGCAGTTCAATCCTGCGCCCAGAGAGAGGAAGGATGGGAGTTCAATCTCTGGCCCAGAGAGAGGAAGGATGGGAGCTCAATCTCTGGCCCAGAGAGAGGAAGGTTGGCAGTTCAATCTCTGGCTCAGACAGAGGAAGGATGGGAGTTCAATCTCTGGCTCAGAGAGAGGAAGGATGGGAGTTCAATCTCTGGCCCAGAGAGAGGAAGGTTTGCAGTTCAATCTCTGGCCCAGAGAGAGGAAGGATGGGAGTTCAATCTCTGGCCCAGAGAGAGGAAGGTTTGCAGTTCAATCTCTGGCCCAGAGAGAGGAAGGATGGAAGTTCAATCTCTGGCCCAGAGAGAGGAAGGATGGGAGTTCAATCTCGGGCCCAGAGAGAGGAAGGATGGGAGTTCAATCTCGGGCCCAGAGAGAGGAAGGTTGGCAGTTCAATCTCGGGCCCAGAGAGAGGAAGGATGGGAGTTCAATCTCTAGCCCAGAGAGAGGAAGGTTTGCAGTTCAATCTCTGGCCCAGAGAGAGGAAGGTTGGCAGTTCAATCCCGGGCCCAGAGAGAGGAAGGATGGGAGTTCAATTTCTGGCCCAGAGAGAGGAAGGATGGGAGTTCAATCTCTGGCCCAGAGAGAGGAAGGTTTGCAGTTCAATCTCTGGCCCAGAGAGAGGAAGGTTGGCAGTTCAATCTCGGGCCCAGAGAGAGGAAGGATGGGAGTTCAATCTCTGGCCCAGAGAGAGGAAGGTTTGCAGTTCAATCTCTGGCCCAGAGAGAGGAAGGTTTGCAGTTCAATCTCTGGCCCAGAGAGAGGAAGGTTGGCAGTTCAATCTCGGGCCCAGAGAGAGGAAGGATGGGAGTTCAATCTCTGGCCTAAAGAGAGAGGAAGGATGGCAGTTCAATCTCTGGCCCAGAGAGAGGAAGGTTTGCAGTTCAATCTCTGGCCCAGAGAGAGGAAGGTTGGCAGTTCAATCTCGGGCCCAGAGAGAGGAAGGATGGCAGTTCAATCCTGCGCCCAGAGAGAGGATGGATGGGAGTTCAATCTCTGGCCCAGAGAGAGGAAGGATGGGAGTTCAATCTCTGGCCCAGAGAGAGGAAGGATGGGAGTTCAATCTCTGGCCCAGAGAGAGGAAGGATGGGAGTTCAATCTCCGGACTAACCAGGCCCACAGATGAAAAGAGGCACTTGGCATCCTGCCTGGTTCACGGCTGGGGAAATAACTAGGATTGCTTGTCTTGGAATTGGCATAGGTGTGACATGGTATCACAGTAGACTAGCACTATTAAACCAGCACAGGTACAGACACACACGTCCATAGGGGTCACCATGTAAAGTGCAATATTCCTGAACGTGATGTTAAACACTTTCCTCGCATGATTTTTGTCTACTGATTTTGTATGAACTAACAAAGGTGCATTACACTGAAGCCAGAACCGGTGGAAGAATGCCTGAGCTAAATTCCACAGGTCGTGTCTAATGACACACTATCTCCCAGGTAATGGATTCTTACAACCCAGGCAGTGTGGTAGCCTAGTGGTTAAAGCTCACTCATCTTGCCAAAGATCTGGGTTCGATTCCCCACATGGGAAAAATGTCTGAAGCCCATTTCTGGTGTCCCCCGCCGAGATATTAAAACTAACATTCACTGACAACCCAATCTTTATTGTAGTAGGCCTAAATCATATCATCTCTGTTATCACTGTAATCAAATCGTTGACACAAATTCTGTCTTTATGAATCTCAATGAAGAAATAAATATGAAAGGCACACATTCCCAGTAAATATATCTAAATCAGTTTTCACTCTTGACTTAAACTGTTCAATTAAATGAGCTTCAATGTCTCGTGATGTTCAATGCTACGCTGAAGAAACGAAGCATCAACATACACTATGTACTTACACATGACTGGGTGTTGGTTTTGTATAGAGCAACATAACCCACCTATTTTGTTTCTTCTCTGTGAGCACAAGCCAAGGGCACTGCAAACCACACTGGCATCAAGTTCTTGGAGAAGGAGCTGTATGATGGCTGGCTATATGTATTGACAAAGTCGGTTGCACTCCTGCGATCACGGTACTTGGCAGCAGGCTACATACTTTGTCCAAAGCTGCCTCTACAGCAGCCTAGAGGACACAATAATCTCATCAGAAGGGGACAGTAATCATAACAGAAGGGCACAGTAATGAAATCAGAAAGGGTACAAAATAATCTCATCAGAAGGGGGACAATAATGAAATCAGAAAAGGTACAAAATAATCTCATCAGAAGGGGCACAGTAATGAAAGGGTACAAAATAATCTCATCCGAAGCGGCACAGTAATGAAATCAGAAGGTACAAAATAATCTCATCAGAAGGCTTATAATCATAACAGAAGGGGCAGTAATGAAATCAGAAAGGGTACAAAAATAATCTCATCCGAAGGGGAGGCACAGTAATGAAATCAGAAAGGGTACAAAATAATCTCATCAGAAGGGGACAATAATGAAATCAGAAAGGGTACAAACAATCTCATCAGAAGGGGGACAATAATGAAATCAGAAAAGGTACAAAATAATCTCATCAGAAGGGGCACAGTAATGAAAGGGTACAAAATAATCTCATCCGAAGGGCACAGTAATGAAATCAGAAGGGTACAAAATAATCTCATCAGAAGGGGCGATAATCATAACAGAAGGGGGGCAGTAATGAAATCAGAAAGGGTACCAAAAATCTCATCCGAAGGGGCACAGTAATGAAATCAGAAAGGGTACAAAATAATCTCATCAGAAGGGGGCGATAATCATTACAGAAGGGGCACAGTAATGAACTCAGAAAGGGTACAAAATAATCTCATCAGACAGGGCACAGTAATTACATCAGAAAGGGCACAATAATCACACCAGAAGGGGCACAATAATAAAATCAGAAAGGGCACAAAATAATCTCATGAGAGGGGGCACAATAATGAAATCAGAAAGAGACAAAATAATCTAATCAGAAAGGGCACAGTAATGAAATCAGAAAGGGCACAAAATAATCTCATGAGAGGGGGCACAATAATGAAATCAGAAAGAGACAAAATAATCTAATCAGAAAGGGCACAGTAATGAAATCAGAAAGAGACAAAATAATCTGATCAGAAAGGGCACAGTAATGAAATCAGAAAGAGACAAAATAATCTAATCAGAAAGGGCACAGTAATGAAATCAGAAAGAGACAAAATAATCTGATCAGAAAGGGCACAGTAATGAAATCAGAAAGAGACAAAATAATCTAATCAGAAAGGGCACAGTAATGAAATCAGAAAGAGACAAAATAATCTAATCAGAAAGGGGGCAGTAATGAAATCAGAAAGAGACAAAATAATCTAATCAGAAGGGCACAGTAATGAAATCAGAAAGAGACAAAATAATCTAATCAGAAAGGCACAGTAATGAAATCAGAAAGAGACAAAATAATTTCACGAGAGGGGCACAGTAATGAAATCAGAAAGAGACAAAAAATAATCTAATCAGAAAGGGGCAGTAATGAAATCAGAAAGAGACAAAATAATCTAATCAGAAAGGGGGGCAGTAATGAAATCAGAAAGAGACAAAATAATCTAATCAGAAAGGGGGGCAGTAATGAAATCAGAAAGAGACAAAAATAATCTAATCAGAAAGGGGGGCAGTAATGAAATCAGAAAGAGACAAAATAATCTAATCAGAAGGGGGACAGTAATGAAATCAGAAAGAGACAAAATAATCTAATCAGAAAGGGGGGCAGTAATGAAATCAGAAAGATACAAAAATAATCGAAACAGAAAGGGGGGCAGTAATGAAATCAGAAAGAGACAAAATAATCTAATCAGAAAGGAGGGCAGTAATGAAATCAGAAAGAGACAAAATAATCTAATCAGAAAGGGGGGCAGTAATGAAATCAGAAAGAGACAAAATAATCTAATCAGAAAGGGGGTCAGTAATCACAAAAATACATGCAGATAACAGAGCATGTATAGAAACCAAAAATTCTAGCGAGATATGAGGTTAATCATTTTAATGCTACATGTGAACTAGGCTGGCCCTTTAAATGTTTTAAGCTGAATTTTCTGTCATCTTCCTCTTCATGGTAACCTTAACCAATATAATTGCTTTAGTCTCAGTGAATATTTATTTAGTATCAACATTTTATAAAACTGTATTCATACAGTGCTGACATTAATCATGTTAAAAAGGTATTGTGATTGATATCATGAGATACGATGATACCGCTGTGTTAGAGTTCTGTGAACAAACCTCGACATCTTTACTACCTGAGGTACATACTGGATACTGTCAAAACTGTAGTGTGTGGACTCACCTGTGTCTTGTTGTCACCAAGGAGAGTGTCGACTTCACGCATAACAAACTCGCATATTACACATTCAGGGCCTGCAGATACCTTGGTCTTTGGTGTGAATGATGGACTCTTTGAGACTGAAATGATGCACATATATATCACAGGTACTGGTAAATAAGATTTCGTGAATAACAACAATGAATATGGGAGAGATTCAGTTTGGTTTTACGCAGCCTTGAACACTATTTCCAATATATCACAGAATGTGCCTTTTTCATGCTGGAGACCTTACACATATAGCTTGCTGGAACTCAAGGTGAAGTGAAATTGGGTTTAACATTGTGCTTGAAAATATTTTGCTCATATGACGACGTGCATGGGTGTGTATGTGTATGTGCGGCTGCTTGTACTATCCCAGACTGAAGCTGGTGTTATAGTGCTAGCCCACTGAGAGACCATGCCGCAGTGAAGCATGAATCAGACACATTATACTGACTCGAGCCGACCAGTCCTTGTTGTACAAATTAATGCCGAAAGCACCAGGCAGGGACCAACAAGTACCATATTTGAACATCTTTGGTATGACGCGGTAGGGGATCGAACCCGACGCGTTCCGCTCCTCCAGGCAGGCGCTCTAACCACTACACCACGGAGGCGGCGGTTGGGTGGAACTCACAGCATGGGTATGTATGTGGCGTTTCCCTCTCGGGCGGACGCTCTAACCACTACACCACGGGAAAGCGGTTGGGTGGAACTCACAGCATGGGTATGTATGTGACGTTCCACTCTCCGGGCGGATGGTTGAGAATTGCCTGTTAAACTGTGCTTGGCTACTAGACTGACCTTTAACACCCTTGCTGCTTGTACACAGACGTAGCGTTGTGCAGATACTCTTGGGGTCCAGTTTATTGACCAGTAAGTTGATGACAGCTGGACCATATTCCTCGACAAACTGGCTACACTCGGCACTGATGGTTGCTGGCAATAGAGTGCACACCTTCTCCAGCGCTGCTTCAACCTCCGCCTGTAATGGGAAGTCAGTACAATAAACTCTCGGGAAGAGCTGGGTTATGCCGACGTTTCTAAACTGCGACAGCATAAAACTAACAACAGCACCAGGTAAGTTGGGAAAGTATACCTCCCAAAAATCAAGCCCACACTTTTAAAAACTTAAAAAAAACCCAGAAATTCATGTGAAAGCATGGATCGCTTATTCTCTGTGACTATCACAGGGCAACTCCTCAAAAAATGGCTTCAAGTGAACTCTGAGCAAACCAAACCCCACCAAAGAACACAAATATATCCTTGATAGTACACTCTTCGGGATGTAGATGTTAGGAAGCTCAGAAACAACAGCATATTGATGTATCTACAGCTTTATATCAGTACTGCATCAAACTAAGTCAACTAATTGGTCTTTGTAATTGCCCAATCAGGCTATATCTGTCTGTGAGATTCATGCCCAATCAGGCTATATCTGTCTGTGAGATTCATGCCCAATCATATTAAATTAGTCTATGGGATTCATGCCCAATCATATTATATTAGTCTATGGGATTCATGCCCAATCATATTATATTTGTCTATGGGATTCATGCCCAATCATATTATATTAGTCTATGGGATTCATGCCCAATCATATTAAATTAGTCTATGGGATTCATGCCCAATCATATTAAATTAGTCTATGGGATTCATGCCCAATCATATTATATTTGTCTATGGGATTCATGCCCAATCATATTATATTAGTCTATGGGATTCATGCCCAATCATATTAAATTAGTCTATGGGATTCATGCCCAATCATATTAAATTAGTCTATGGGATTCATGCCCAATCATATTAAATTAGTCTATGGGATTCATGCCCAATCATATTAAATTAGTCTATGGATTCATGCCCAATCATATTAAATTAGTCTATGGGATTCATGCCCAATCATATTAAATTAGTCTATGGATTCATGCCCAATCATATTAAATTAGTCTATGGGATTCATGCCCAATCATATTAAATTAGTCTATGGGATTCATGCCCAATCATATTAAATTAGTCTATGGGATTCATGCCCAATCAGGCTATATTTGTCTATGGGATTCATGCCCAATCATATTAAATTAGTCTATGGGATTCATGCCCAATCATATTAAATTAGTCTATGGGATTCATGCCCAATCAGGCTATATTTGTCTATGGGATTCATGCCCAATCATATTAAATTAGTCTATGGGATTCATGCCCAATCATATTATATTAGTCTATGGGATTCATGCCCAATCGACCGCCTCCGTGGTGTAATGGTTAGAGTGTCCGTATGGTACTTGTTGGTCCCAGCCTGGCGCTCGGCATTAATGAGTACAACAAGGACTGGTCGGCTCGGAATCAGTATAATGTGTCTGAGGGGTATTCATGCTTCACTGCGACATGGTATTTCAGTGGGCTAGCACTATAACACAAGCTTAAGTCTGGGCTAGTACAAGCAGTCACACATACACATACACACACATGCGCGTCGTCATAAGAGTGAAATATTCTCAAGCACGACGTTAAACCCAATTTCACCTCACCTCATGCCCAATCATTTTATATTGTCTATGGGATTCATGCCCCATCATACTATACTTGTCTCTTTAACTTTGAGACTCAGATTTGAAAGTTCACCTGATCTGATCTCCTCAGGAGACAGGTATTGTACCATTGTAAACAATGCCTGTGATCTTAATGAGACTACAAATATACTACCTACCTGTGAACTGTTTGCAGAGATGAGAGAATCCACTGTGGTCATGATAAACTCACAGACGATACAGCCAACATCAGCACTGACTTTAGGCTTGACGGCTCTTACACCTGTCAAAGATAGATCACACATGTTCAATAATCACACATTATGTCAAAATATATCTAATGTGTAAGTCTAATTTCCCTCAAACATTTTCCAAATATGCACAGATTTAATATGCTCATAAATATGGCTAGCCCACCTCTGCGCTTCCTATCCTCTCTAGATCTATGCAAGAAGTGAGTGAGTGAGTTTAGTTTTACCAGGGATACTCTACAACAGGGATAGGTCACTCGCTTGCTTTCTTTACCATTTGTACTAATTAACGTGTGCCTCGTCATGCTCCAACGCACACAGTGACTTGGTTCGGTCCCAGCTAACTTCGGCTGCGTTATAACAGTACTTCAGCCAGTGTATTGTATAGGTCGAATTTTACAATGAATGAATGAATTAAGAGCAAGAATTTTATGTGAATGAATGAAAGAAATTAAGAAAAGAACAAAAGAAAAGAACATATGTGAATGAATGAAAGAATAAATGATACACCACGGCCATCCCTCCCCAAACATGTTAAAGAACGCAAAAACTATCGGTAGAACACATGTTAACATCAGCTGTCCTTTTTATAAAAATCTACTTTGAGACATTTTTTACATTAGTAACTAATTCAGATATCTTATTGCATGTGTGGAATGACATGGGCATTGACAGAATGTTAACTGACACTGTCACAGACCCTCAAGAACAGAAAGTTTAGAACTATCACAAAGCGTTGTAAACACCTTTCCAGTTTTGTCAAATACTAAGATCAACAAAAAGAAAGAAGTTTTAGAACTATAACACTCAAGCATCACAAGCACCAATGGCGTATCAGAACAGATCGGCGATATGTCATATTTTTTCACACACCTCAAATACGCACTAACAACAAAAACAAAAGAAACTATCACTATTACTTGCAAAAACTTTCACCTAATGGTATATTCCCCTCATAAAATTAAAGGTGTATGTGAAAGATGTTTTAGAACAATAACTAGAAACACTCAAACAACGCCTGTAGTATTTCAATGGCAGATCGGCGATATGTCATATTTTTCACACACCTCAAATACACACTAACATTTTTTAAATTATAAAACTATTACTATTACTTGCAAACACCTTTCACCTGATGGTATATTCCCTCATAAAAATTGAAGGTGTATGTGAAAGATGTTTTTGAACACTAACTAGAAACACTTAAACAACTTCGTAGTATTTCAATGGCAGATCGGCGATATGTCATATTTCTTACACACCTCAAATACACTCTAACAATTTTTTTTTAGTTATAAAAATATCACTATTACTTGCAAACACCTTTTAACAAAAGGTATATTTCCCTTCTAAAAATTAAACGAATATGTGAAAGAAGTTTTTAGCGATATAAGTTAGTCTTTCTTCTTCGCTGTGTACTGAGAATTGAAGCCAGTGAGCTACAACATGCCCACTTGAAACTTTACTACAAAGCTACTGTACTTATACTGACACTAATAACAAGTATTTGACTTAAAATGAAGTGACAGAATAGGTAACTTATCTTCTACATGTAGGTTTTCAGTTGTCACAACACTCAGCGTATGTAATCAGCTGTTGAAAATAAACCGGGCTCAATCTTAAAAACTACGCTGCCGCCATATTGGCTGCACTGGTCACGTGACGAGCCGAGGCATAGCTTAGGAGCTTTCCGAGGAGTGACCACTCCCCCTTATAGAGTCTCCCTGGTTTTACGCTGCACTTAGCAATATTCCAGCTATATGGCAGCAGGTCCTATGCATGAAGATAGATGTGGAATGGTATTGGTAAATTCCAGTCAGAGATTTACCATCAACTGATTCTGCATCCCATTCCATGGAAACTAAGTATCAAAGTTCAAATGCCCTGTGAACATGGTGAAGGAATGAGCATCCTAAACTACTTTCTGCAGTGATGTGTTAATTGAATTAATGTTGCCTGAATCTGTGAAATCACAAAACACAAACGATTTTGTCAAAGAATCAATAAAGTAAGTCTTCATAATACGTGTTAGGCATGTGTTGGCTTTCATCACTGCGCCCACACACAATCATTTCACCTCACTTCACGAGGAAGCAAAGCTACATTTAATTAATTTAATCTGACTTGTCTAATGAATGTGATGTTTTCCTACCCCAGCGCACAAGCCAATTTCTTTGCAGATTTCATCTGGCTTCAAGTTCTGGACGAAAGCAGTTTGATGATGACATCCCCATACGCAGTTGACAAAGTTGACACATTCATCACTGACACTGGATGGCAACATGTTACAAATCTTGTCCAGCGCCGCCTCCACTGCAGCCTAGGTAACCAATGTGCAATAATCAATTCAAACAAGGCCCCAAATAACGGTTTCAGCTAGTCAATTACCACTTGCACGTTCTCACTGGGTACTGAACATTTTATTTAGGTTTTCAAATCACAAAGTTGACATTTTTTAACAAACACTGCTGAATTTGCAATCTGTTCACATGCCACCACAAGAAGGGATGTGGAAATATCGAAATTTTTAACTTGGGACTTCTTCACACTTCTAACTTCCATGTGATATTTGTTTCAATGTTGACAAACACGCTTTTGTATTTCCAGTTCCCTCTATAGATAAGAAATTCATCCATCACATGGATGTAAATGTAAACCAATAGAATCAAAACAAAACAATACATTTCATGCAGCCAGTACTATCTGCCACGACTTCTCACAATGTTTAGACGCCTCCGTGGTGTAGTGGTTAGGCGTCCGCCGGAGAGCGGAAGGTCACGGAGTTCGATCCCCGACCGCGACATACCAAAAGACGTTAAAATATGGTACTTGTTGGTACCTGCCTGGCGCCGGCATTAATGGGTACAACAAGGACTGGTCGGCTCGAGTCAGTATAATGTGTCTGAGTGGGATATTCATGCTTCACCGCGGCATGGTATTTCGGTGGGATAGCACTATAAAACCAGCCAAAGTCTGGGCTAGTACAAGCAGCCGCATACACATACACACGCATGCACGCATATGAGCGTTTGGTTTTACGCCGCTTTTAGCAATATTCAAGCAATATCAATGGCGAGGGGACACCAGAAATGGGCTTCTCTCATTGTACCCATATGGGGATTGGAACCCGGTTCAGCGTGACGAGCCAATGCTCTAACCACTAGGCTACCCCAATCACCCGAATGAAACAATACCCTGCCATCGTTTTGATTGCTCTAACTTGTGATGTTACGCACTTTCAAAGCAGTACGTTAGAATTTGTTACAAACATCTTTTTCAAATGGACTTAACATCTGCAAATTTGTAAGATTGTCCATGGACAACTGAAGTGACTTTGTTTACTCACTTGTCATCTCAAATCAAATGAGTCATGCATTCATTTTCCACAACCTGCTAACAACAGTGCTATGCATCAAGTTAAAATGCATAAGAAACTTTTGTGCCCCGATCACTGCAGGTGAAGTCATGCATGAGAGGTACGTGAAGTTAGGAACAAGCAAAATTGGGAAATAAATCTGTACCTGACTCCTGTTGTTCCCAAGAATTTGATCCACTTCAGTCAACGCAAATTCACAGAGTGTGCATTCAACGCTGACCTTGACTTTTTTAGGAGCACCCATGACCTTGACCTTTGTTTGGTAGGAAGCCAATCCAATACGAGTCAAAGGCACAGTTTTGGCTTGTGTACACAGCTTCAGATACTCACACACTACAGTGGGATCCTGCAAGAACAGAATATTATGCTTGTATTTACGCCTTCCATCATGGATACAATAAATTTATTTATTCTAGGTATGTCTTCAATGATTATTTCAAAATTCCTGACACAAAAAGAGCAAAGACTGCACCAAGGGAGGTGTTCACACAATATGCATAAAATCACTCAACAAAACCACTCTATTTTGTTGCCAAGTGGTATAGGTTTTACAGAGACGTGTCCCTCAGCTGTACAAGAATCCCCCAGTTTGAATGTTAAAAGAATTGGCCTTTCTGATTACCTGCCTGACAACGTAAATGGTGTATGTAGCACTCATTTATATGGATACAAAACTAGAACTTTCGGTTAACCAGCACACATGAAACCATAACTCTTTGAAGGTCAAAACAATCCTGGGATGTTTCTGTTGTCAATTTTTAACCAACCCATCAAAACAAATCAGTAAATGAAGAAATGAAACAGTCCTACCCTAAATGATGCATAAACAGGGTGACATTCTTACCAGCTCATTGGCCAGCAGCTGGAACAAGATGGCAGCATATGTCTCCACCTCCTGTACACACTGCAAGCAAAACAAGAAGATCACTGCAACTGTGCTGAAATAAGGTAGGACTGATTCATCTTAAAGCTCTATCAGCTGAAGTCAGAGGGATCTTTGATCATCTAGTGTCACCTTGACCAAGGTAATACACCACTCATATATGTTAAAGACACATCATTTCTATGTCTATGATTACACAATGACATTTAGATAGAGGTCAACTGTAACATGTTATATTTGGGATTACACTTCCTTAGTAAAGTACAGATTCTTGTACTTTTGTTGGGTTGAGTCCCTCCAGGATTCCAACCCACACACTCAGAGTCAGGTACCTAATCGCCACCACACAAAGTCAGCCGCCTAACCCGCTCAGCCACCGCAACTTCCACTAATGTGGAAACAGTGATCTGGCATGACAGATGCAATGTTGCCAAGAAGGCAGTATATGCACACACATGCACAGAAGAACCATGTGGTTGTTACAACATGATGCGGTGCATACCATTGGACACATTGCTAACACACATCATACTACTGATTTCTTTAATGACAAACATACATTCCAAATCAGCCATACTGTACTTTTTACCCTGTGGGTACCTTCTTGAATGATATTTCCCCTAAGTTCTGGGTGAACTCAGACATGTCAAGAAGGTTAATTGGCAGGTGCAGGTTTTCTGTCCACCTGCAGCAGACGGCTTATTATTACAGGGTGGTGAAATCATCACACATGATGATCAGGGTGTTATGATGTTAGCTTATCGCTGACTTACTTCATCAAGCTTGACATGTTTCCTTGAAGCAATCCTGATACAGTTAATCATTTCACATGGCTGTCATAAATCATCACACAACTGAAACATGTTTCCTGAGTCATAAGATATGGAAAGGAAAGACATTTTCATTGGATGACTATTATCTGGTATTTCTAGTGATGGCTTGGAGAATTAACACACTGATGTGCTGAGTGTTCTCAGACGAATGGACTTTCCCCATAAGCTAGACAAGACAACATTGATTGTGTCTAATCAATTACTGGCTTTCCCAAGTCAAACATTACATACCTGTTTTTGTGCACTGCCAAGGTAGGGGCAGATATTATCTTCGACAAACTGTTTCAGCTCAGTCTGAAACACATCATCATCATCATCATCACCATAATCATCATCATCAATAAAAATAAGAGCAATCTCTGACTGACTGACTGATCATCCGTCCGCCCCACCAAGTCACTGAGCATGGACATTACATGCATGGGACATATGGAACCTATTTTATGATACAACTTAATATCCTCAACAAGAAAAGTGAGTAAGTGACTCACCTGTGTTGTCTGGTCTCTGTCCAAGGCTCTCAGCTTAGTGACCACCTCCTTGCACAGGTCACATTCCACCACATCAGACACAGCCTTGTTTGCTACATGATGCTGACAAGACAAGACAAGACTGAGTTAAGTTTAGACTGGAGTGAATGAATGAGATCCATGCCATATGCATGACAATGCTGCAAGTATTCGCTGACTTGTATAGAAACTGGAAACAAGATCACCTGTGGTTGAGTGGTTTAGTTAGTTCCACTTAATACAGGGTATTCAAATCTGTTAAAACCTGTGGGGATAATCCAGACAGAAGAAATAAAACCGTGAATCCATAGTCACCACCCAATATTCATTTTTAGTTACTGCAGGCATTTACAGGACGCGAATTCCTGCGTCAATATACATTTGAAAGAGAAGAGACATTCCATAGCCTATATTAAGGTTTGCTATCAAATGTCAGCAATCTATCAGACATTCCTGAATTTTCATTTGCTCGTTTTTCAGATGTTGATGGTTTCAGACAGGATTGATGATATGAATGCCTGGAATACATGATTGATTTAGACTGAGTTCTTACCGAACGCTCCTGAATCTCTTGAGTACACATGCTGAGGAGTCCACAGATCTGGTTGGGGTTCTGTAACAACCAACCAACATATTGTACACATCATTGTTGATGATGGAAGAGTCCAAGCAACAATTAACCCCAGCATAACATAAGATTTAAGTATAAAAGGAACATTGAACATCAACATTTCCCTACAAAATATACTTGATCCAGAATAAAAATATCATAGCCGCCCAAAATGTGCCTTGGTTAATCAACAAGCATTCTCTTCCCACAGAGGTTACTTGTCATATCTTCCTGCGAACCTCTGTTCTAATATGGCCCTTTCATGGTGTGAGTGTTCAGGATTCGTGATTGGTTGCAATCAGATTTAGTTGTGCAATCAGCGACGTTGTTTCAAAAGTGATCATTCGCAAGGCCTTGGTAATTTCTGTTTTCTTCGGGAAAACTAGAAACTCTCTTATGACGACGTGCATGCATGTGTGTGTGCGGCTCCTTGTACTAGCCCAGACTTAAGCTGGTTTTATAGTGCTAGCCCACTGAGATACCATGCCGCAGTGAAGCATGAATACCCCACTCAGACACAGTATACTGACTCCGAGCCGACCAGTCCTTGTTGTAACCATTAATGCCGAGCACCAGGCAGGGACCAACAAGTACCATATTTTAACGACTTTTGGTATGACGCGGTCGGGGATTGAACCCGCGACCTTACGCACTCCGGGCGGACGCTCTAACCACTACACCACGGAGGCAGATGCTCTAACCACTACACCACGGAGGCGAGCGCTCTAACCACTACACCACGGAGGCGAACGCTCTAACCACTACACCACGGAGGCAGATGCTCTAACCACTACACCACGGAGGCGAACGCTCTAACCACTACACCACGGAGGCGAACGCTCTAACCACTACACCACAGAGGCGAACGCTCTAACCACTACACCACGGAGGCGGTCGCAATTAGGTAAGATGCTAAAGGTAAAATGAATGCTTTGCCATAAGTGAATGTTTCAACATGACTTTAACCACACATTAACACAATCTCACAAACATAATGATTCACACCATGTGGAATATATACCCCAAGTGAACACTTTAACACAAGACTTGAAAACATAACATTTACTCTGTTAGCATACACTGGGTTTCATTATATACTTACAAGTCTTGTCATCTCGAAACAACCTATCCAGCTCATGTTTCAAAGCAGATATTAATATTATGTACTACCTCTTGATATACTCATGGAAACAAATAAGGGATAACATGAACGTACATTTTCACCCAAAATGCAATATAAAACACGACCAGAAAACTGGAAAAGAGTATAGGACCACTTGCACTTTTGTGTGTTCCTTTATTTGTGTCCATGAGTTTATAGGTGACACTGATAAAGACTGACATGAAATGTACTTACATCTTCCTGGGCAAGATACTTCAGCATTTGAGGAACATAGTTTTCCATAAGTTGTTTGCACTGAAAAAAAATAAAATAGAGTGTAAAACATTCCTACACTAAGGAACCTTGTTAATCTGTACAATTTTGTTTACAATGTTTACTCTGTAGACAATTTTTGGATCAAACATAAGACGAACATGATCTACTTTCCACCTGGGTGAAGTTTCTGTCTCTGTTACACAAGGATTTCAATACTTCTGTAAAGTGTATTTAATTATTAAAGAAGGGCACTGTCTCATTATGACCATGGTCTTTGCTCAGTTTAACCTTGGAACAGACCAGACGATTGCATTGTGTGCTACCAGTACACATACAGTGGTGGGGCGTGGGGGGATGGGGGAGAGAGAGAGAAGGGTGAGTGAGTTTAATTATATGCCGCTTTTTGCAATATTCCAGCAATATCACACACTAGGTGATGTGAGAGCAACCAGTCATCCCCTCAACCAAAGACTCACTTACAATACACCAGGTCTGAAAGTATTTTCTAACCATGCATCCTCAAAGAAGGGAACGCCACAAATTCCGACCACAGTTGCATGATGTACGACCGATTTGTATACCTATACAAATCATTGTATACCGCTCCTCAGATAAACATTTGACACAGAAGCCAACAACATCAGCCTCTATTAGACATTACAGAATTTCTTTGATTTTTGGGAAGTAGTAGATGATTTAATATCGATCCACAACAAATGATATATTGCAATGAAATTAATATCTTCAGACAATGACTTAGTCATAGACATAGAGGATACTAAACGACCTTCCGTGTAATACCAATTTTATTAAACCAGTTAATGATTTGGTATCAAACAAGTGAAAGTGAGTTTGATACTAAATCTTTCACGAGTTTAATAAAAATGGTATTTCACGGAAGCGAGTTTAGTATTCTGTTTATTACTCTCCAACATAAATTGATAGAAACTGCCTACAGTGTGATGACTCTCATATAAATTTTCCGCAAGTCTAATACCATTGCCACAGAGGCATTAGCATTGTGACGTCATAACTGTAACCACTATGATGCCATATGTCTAGCGGTATTACACTAGTGTAATATTGCCTTAAAATATTACACTGCAGTATGTTCCATGGGCAAGCAATAAACGCCCATACTCCAGCCTGTTGTGCCAGGGTGCTCATGACATAGTGGCTGGTGTACCAGCAGTGTTGAAAGGGTAAAGTACTAGTCACATTTTTTAACAGTTCCCCAGACCCCATGTCTTCCCATCAGTATACACTGATTAAGTTTTGTTGGTCAAGGTAACACTCACCATTTCTTCCAGGCCACCAAACTTAGAACACACAATCTGGTCTAGGAGTTGTTCGATCTCCGCCTGGTAGATAAATCAGTGTAATTACTCAGTGGGTCAAATTATCATATACTGAAGAGTATCCACCTATTATTCACCAATATGAAATATTTTGAAATGACTCGGAGGTGCATAAGATGGCTCTACTCAAAACTATAGCTAAGAGAGTGACAATTTACAATTACATTCAAGGAATATTGAACAAACTTTATGGATAACAACTTCTTTTATTACGTGAGTGCAATGTTTCAAAACAGATTATTGTACCGTTGCCATTCCTGCTTGACAACGGTACAAGAATCTGTACCAAAACATCACCCTCATGTAAAAATCGACTGGGCCCTGCGCCTTCCCTAGATAAAGCTTGGTGTTGAATATGAAGAAAATCTATTGAACGGTTCTTGAGATATCTCGCTGACAAGAGTAAAACGTTAAAGTCCCCTTGTGACCTTGAAATGAAGGTCAAGGTCACCAAACCTGACTGCAGAGGTACAGATAAGCTGCGTATCTGCATAAATACCGCAAATAATTATGTGAAAACTCAATTCCTATTAAGTCTATTACGTACAAGTACGCTTGAATTTTTGTAAATACTCAATATATGTGATCTTACATGTGTACACACAAAAATGTCAAAACCTAGCTTGAGTACCGGTGGAAAGATAAAATAACTGAGGTATATTGAGAGGTTCTATTTCAGGTCATGAACTTGACAACTTGCAGTCTTTCTTATCGTTTCTCATATTACAGATTAAACATAAATAACAAACACTAACATTTAAACTTTATTATATTTTAAATATTAATGGACAATGGCAAAATACCCAATTGAGTTTTTATCTCAGGTCATGAACTTGACAATTTGCATTCTTTCTTATCGTTTCTCATATTACAGATTAAACATAAATAACAAACACTAACATTTAAACTTTATTTTATTTAAAAAATTAATGGAAAATGGCAAAATACCCAATTGAGTTTGAGTGAGGTGAGTACAATTTATTTGGTTACTCAAAGGAAAGTTAGGATACCCAATTGAGATGAACACAAGCGAGTACATAACTCAATGACCCAAAAAGTTATCTGTAGCTCTGTGACTGGGACCTTTCTTACACTGTGATGAACCTAGGTCCCAAATATGAAAAGAATCTAGCCAACTGATCTTAAGATATTCCAATTCGTATGTATGCACGGCGGGGGATAATATACTAGTTATGACAATATTTCTAAGTAAGAAAAGTACATGTTTCCTAAAATTAATAAAATTCCACCCTACTTAGCATACCAAAATATAACAAGTATTCTAAAAAACCTTTAAATAGCAATGCTTAACAAAACACAAGTCACTGTTGAACTTGAAAAGTATTGAGCTCCTACTGAAAGACTTACTGTTGTGTTGGCTGATGACACGATATTGGATACATCAGTGAAGAAGTTGATGCAGTCAGTGCACACCTTGTCAGCACTCTACAGGGAAGGAAGGTGTGAAAATAAGTCCTCGGCATTGTTGCAGAATAACAAAAATATTGCTTTAATTTATGACATCTACAGATAAATATTCCCTTTCCATAAAATGTTAACTACAGACTTACCCCTCCGACAGAGACAACCTGGCCTGCTGCTTGGCCATTGGCTGAAACAAAACAGAATATGGTTACCATGGTTACATACAAACAACAATTTCAAGTGACTGATAAAGAAAATAAATGTCAACAGAAATGAACAAGGTTAATGTTCCCACCGATATTACCTTAATGAATAATTCAAATGAATGAAATAGAAAGAAAGAAAGGAAGAAAGGGAAGGGGTGTCTGGACTGGGAGGGGGGAGGGACTGAGCATATTGTAGTACAGTAGAGTGAGGACCTCCCCCGTAGGCTGCTATCAAAATTGGTCATACACTATATTGTGATTTACAAAAAAGGATAAATGTTCAACACGTATATTTCAACTCCCCACTTCAACATGTTCAAATCATTATTTGTGGGACTGTAAAATTTAACGTCTCCTTCAATCTAACATGGCCCTAGGAGACAGTGAGGTACATGTGTCATTTGTATGGGGGATTACTTATAACTCAACATGGCTCAGGAGAAGCCCTGTGATTTCCTAATGACACAGACATACTTCCTACATATAGTCAACTTCCTCTGCAGCGTTCCGAGAACTTAGCTAAAGCTCCTTATATTATCTCAGACTTGTTTAGCAAGCTAGCTAAATTATCCTTGTTGATTTGTTCAGGTAATCACATTTTTATACCAATATGAACAACACCTCTAACACACTGCCTGAGAAATGACATCAGGGTGCTTGTCAAATTGTCATTTCAAAACACACAAGTATTTTGTTATTATTTACAAAAAAAGTTTATCAGGAACAACTCCGACGATAGCTGGGATTATCAGTCCTGTGTTTGTACACTGTTTTCCTCACCAGATATTGACTTAACGCACACTGTAGAATCTACCATTCTGGCAGGAAATGATAACATACAGATTGAACATAGACAACTGATGTCTGTCAAGGCAAGAGTTACACGAAAATACAATCTGTGTTCCTGATACAGAACAAACATCCTAAAACACACTTGTATGGTAACCCTACGTTCACCGTACTGTATATATAATAACTGGCTATGTATATCATATATCATTGTGAATGGTGAATAGTGAAACTGGAGGGATAGTCAGGGGAGAATAAACAGTATTTGAGATATGTATACAAATAATTGACTGTTTGGACAAGGAAAATATTTGATTTGAGAAGACAGACCAAAGGCTCACCAATAAGTACCAATATCTGGCCAAGGCAGTCCAATAAGGAACCCCATTTGGCAAAGTCGTCCAATGAAGACACACTTTAGTAAAAGGATGTATGATATGGACACATATTTGGTAAAGCTGTCCAACAAGGACACACATTTGAGTAAGGCTCCCCACAAAGGTTATACATTTGATCTTTTTGAAAGAGACAAACAAAATTTATGAAGTAATTTACTGTTTCTTGGTCTATTTTATCACAGCCTCGGACACTGTCTCGATGTCCTCATCTTAAATTCATTTCCTGATCATGAAACGAAAGCAAAACTATCTTCACATCATTTCTATAATCACTAAAACCACATGTTTGTATGGAGTACAGGACATGACTGTGAACTCTGATCAAATGAATGTTTCCTGCACAATCAAATAATAGAAATTGGGGCAGAGGAAATATTTCTTAAATTCATAAATTTCCTGTTTACATCTCAGCTTTGAAACCAATGGACAGATTAACAGTCTGGGATACAAAACATATTCATCAATTCAAGTTCCTCGTTTGTTTGGTCTCCATTTCAGTTTGATTTCCAATACATTTTCAGCTTTTGCAAATGTACATCTAGACTTTAAAACAGTAGAAAGAATTAAAATCTGATTTCAATGAGATTGGTTATATACAATAGCTTGGTGTGGGAATCGATGTTCACCCGCACGTAAACAGAGCAAACGTGGTATAGTTGTTGTTTGCTCCACCGGAGTTTGATTCCTTTCACGTTTTCAACTTCACGTGTTGATGACTCGATGAGGCAGACTTGGAATTCTCTGGTATATTTTCCAGGATGTCGACCACATTGTCGAATTCAGACACTATTTGCAATCCAACGTTTTGCGTCCAAGGTTTACTCGATAGCATGTGGGATGTCGTACTCAAGAGTGCGCTGATGATCACACTGCGTCTCACTGTCGGGACGTAAAAGCCACGAGCAGGGTTCCGTTGTTCACGACTTTGTTTAGGTGGTGGTCTTTGTTTTCTGTGACCGTGATGTTGAGAAACCAGTCGGTTCGAGATTGTACCAAACCCCATTTGTTGTCGTCGGTGAAGACGAGGCTGTACTGCTTGTTTCGAGAGATGATCGTGGTCTCGACGTCGTCTAGGTCGAACAGTTTGCCACCGAACGCTGGGTATATCATCCATTTATCCTCACTGCTGCGGACTAGGGTGTAGCGAGTGTTGCTGTTCGCTCCTGCGGTATCGACCATATCGCTTAACTTACTGTCTGGTCCACCGGCGGGGACTTCAACGCGTTTGTAAATGTTATTTTTTAGTTGCAAGGCGTACAGTTTACCGTCTGTTCCTGGGTCGTCAAATCCACGAGTGTCCCCGAGGTCGGATATCGCTAGGTTGACACATTTTGTTAATCGCGTTCCTGGGCTGTGGGCGCTAGTCATTATCGTATGTGCAGCGTTATGCTGAGGAACCTTATATTAATAGGATGGTTATTTATATCTAAAATACATAAATTTAATTCCGAGATGGTACCTCGCGTTAATTTCTTGTACTGCCGTGACGAAAACGATTCGGTTCTGCCATCGTTGTACTTTTCCATTTTCACCGGTACGACTCTCAGCAGCGTAGAAGGGCATTCACCTTGAATGTTGTCCGTCGTGCTCAGCTGATCGAGATGAATGCACAGTTCGCGATACGGAACGAGATCGGGTAATTTCGTGCCGGTTACGGTGGTTTCCGGTGGTATGTCGTCGACGTAAACACGAGGTGTTTAGCCAACGGCCGACTGAGTCTCAAGTTGTGTTTTTCCGTTGCTAGTTAACACGACCGTGCCATTCGAGTCATTCATTTTGAGTTCAGCCCCCACGGGTTCGAAGATTTCTTCGTTTAGCGACCACACGCTGTAGTAGCCGTCCGTTATTTGGTTGCGGGTGATATTGACGAACAGCCTGTTGTTTTTGCTGTTGATGTTGGTCCATCGCGGTAGGTAGGTGATATCGCGACTTCTTCGAGTTGACGTGACGTGTTATCGATCGCGTGCATCAGTTGAACGGACTCACCGCTACATATTAAAGTATATATACCCATTATATAATAATTTTTAAAGGTACAAACCGGGAGTGTTTTACCCTAAAATGGATATAGATTTCACGAACATGAAGACCATGGTCGATGCGGATGGTTTACATTTCAGAGCACAGTTTATTGATGCGTTTTAAAATTACAGGGTTTCGGTGACGAATGTGAAAACGGTGCACGCTTGGTTTTACAACCCGATGCAGTTCTGGCAGAATCAGTTCAATTTCGCCGTGTGGTGCTACATCAGGATGTGGCTTGGCGTTGTGAGACACTCGGTGTGGCCAGCTGGGTTGCTGTGTTTATGTTTCACGTGCACTATCAGATAAGACGTATCCTCAAAGAAATCAACGCTCCGCTTCCACAGGACAAAGGGTGGGATGCAGTAAACAATCCATACGATCGACGTGTGTACGAATTTGCAACGAATTCGAAATCCATCCGAAGACAGATTGGCGTTTGCCGGGTCTGAACCACGGTTTGGGTATTCCATATGATGGCGTGCGATCCGTGAAAGAAGTCAGTGATGATTAACTGAAACAAGATTTACTATGTCAGCACTTTGCTTTGTCCAGTAATGAATGGCGAGATGATCGTAAGAACTTTAAAGGTGGTGTTGCTTTCACCATCCAAAAAGTGGATCAACCCAAAGACTCTGTGGACGATTGGAAAATGTTCATGCTGGACACGTCGAAAGGGTTTACTCCTCCCGGTGTCGTCAGATTGGACGATTCGATTCGAACGTACGTGTGGGCGCTGGTGGGCACTCAGGCGCAAACGCGTTCCAGCATCGTGGGTAAAGGGACTGCTTACGAAGCGCAGGCACAGTTCGTGTCAAACGTTGTGGATGCTATTAATGCTCCAGTTGATCTACCGAGTGCCATCCAACGCTACCAAAACGTGTTGGAATACGCCCGGTCGAAAGTCGACTACGTGTTCAGTGTGGGATTGTATATGGCTCCGATCAAAAGTTGGGTATCAACCCAGATATCAACGTCTTAACCATCACGCCTACGATGACCCGTGAAACTGGCATAGTGGCATCATCCCCGAAACCTAGTGGGGTTCGACCACAACCACCACAGCCCCTGTGGTTGAAAACAAAGAACATCTCGATCATAAAACAGCTCTTGTGGTCAGGGGATCGCGGTTGGACTGTGCCTCATTTGGTTTAAAAATTCCTTAGCCCGGACGTACACCAGACCCATCATGGCGACGATGGCTGCCCAAAGGTTTTGGCCGAGCCACGTGACAGTTTTAGCCAGCCTACTCAGTAGCCACGAGACAATGCTACCCAGGATTCCCGGAAGCGCTTCGGCGGCTTTGCCTGCAAGTTTAGCCAGCGCTTCGCCGAGTGTTTTCAGATGTTTTTTAACCCAGTCTCTGGCGTCGCCACCACCTGGTGGTGATGTTGGTATGCCACTGCCGCCCGTCAGCGATACGACCAGGGTCGATATAATGAAGCCCAATGCTGTAAGAACGCTGGCGATGGTAATGCCTTGCTCCCGGAACAGAGTTCGTGGATGACTCGGTCGATGGTTTCTCGAGCGCGACTGATTTGGGATCGAAGGGCTACACGGTTGGCGGAAGCGGCTTCTATTCGAGTCAATCTTTCCTCTTGTAAGTCGCGTAATCTCTCTTCTCCTCCTTGTTCGAGTTTTGTCTTCTCATAAGCGATACGGTCCTCTAGTGCGTTCAGATTGGCGATGTTATTTACCAGCGATCAGCGCATGGTTTGCATGGCTTTGTCTAAACCTCGAAGTTCGCGAAGGTTGTAAGGGGCTTCGTTCAT